CTATATATTCTTTCTGGTGTTTTAGTTTTGAAAGAATGAATAGTTTATTAGATATGTTTTATGTTTTAATAGTCATATTAAAATATGTTTATATTTATGATATATTCGATAACATGTTTTATGTAGAGTTTTGTATGTTTATCAATAATTATATTAAAATGCTAATAGCTTATATAGAATTTATATTAATTTATAGGTTTAATTCATAGTAGCAACAGAAGACTTGAACTTGAATTACTTAAAACCATACAATATTACTCATTACTGGATGGGATTTTACCAAATAACGAAGGTTACTTAAAACTTGTTTACAATTTATTAAACAAAAAACAATAAACGGCAGTCTTGCTATGTATAACAGAAATGACCGCTAGGAGTTTCTTTCAATGTCTGTAAATATCAAAGAAAACTCAGGTACTGGTTTGGAACTCTTTCCAGGAGAATTACTAGGGCCGATAAAAAAAACAAATCTTCTAGAAGAAGTACATTTTTACTAGCAAGCTATTATAATAATACTTAATATTATAATTTTGCATTATTATCCAAAATATATATTAACCCAGATCACATATTGGTATTGTCTAACATAAGTCAATAAAGTAATTGAGTATAAACCAGCATTCAATCATACTGTTCTGAATTTAAAACAACAAATGTTCCTCTATTCTTTGTGGTAAAATAGGTTACAATATATGGAAAAGTAAATATTGATGCTGAAATTTTTGGGTTGACTTTTTCTAAAAGACACGAACCTTTAGCTAAAATACTTGCTAAATTTATATTGAATGACAATTCTACTGATATATTTCCTGGTCCCATTCAATATTATTTCAAACATGAAGTACTTCTACCTAAAGGACCAAAAAACCATATTTTGGCTTTTGTACGTTGATACAAAGCAGAAAATTCAAAAATAAGATTTCATTGTCAAATGAATAATATTTGTAATATTGAGTTATGGAATCAAAACTTCCATAACTTAAGTTGGGATTGCATAATCCCTATACATAATATTTTAGGTAGATTTATTTCCAGCACTGTTATAGTTGGAAAAAGAAACCAAAAGAATATATGTCGGTTATTCCTGTATATAGAAAATTGTATATTTAATATATATACTTATATTGCTAAACCTAATAATTTTATGTACATATTATAAAGTTTATAATTAAAATAGAAGATGTTATAATATATAATAGATAAACCGATTGTGCTATTGCTACTTTTAGCAATTAGTAAAGATGATGAAGCTTTTTTAGTCTATCATACTGTAAAAACTAATCCTATATATTTATTAAAACAATTAGAAATACATATAGGACTGCTAATAACTAATATAAATAGTTAATTTATTTATTAAAAAATTTTAGAGATATATAGGATTACTGATAACTAATATAAATTTTACCAGATTGTGCTAATAGTTAATTTATTAATCAATAAAATTCTAGTAACATATAGGTTTGCTGATAACTAATATAAATTTTATCAGATTTTGTTTATAGTTAATTTATTAATCAACAAAATTCCAGTGACATATAGGTTTGCCAATATCTAATATAAATTTTACCAGATTTTACTTATAATCAATTTATTAATTAGTAAAATTCTGGAGATATATAGGTTTGCTGATAACTATTATAAATTTTACGGGATTTTGCTTATAATCAATTTATTAATCAGAAAATTCCGGTGACTTATAGGTTTGCCGATAACCATTATAAATTTTACCAGATTTTGCTTATAGTCAAATTATTAATCAGTAAGATTTCAGTAAAATTCTAGAGAAATATAGGATTGCAAATAACTAATATAAATTTTACAGGTTTGTACTTATAGTCAATTTATTTATTAGGTTTGCTGATAATTATTATAAATTTTACCGGATTTTGCTTATATTCAATTTATTTATCAGTAAAATTTCAGTAAAATTCCAGAAACATATAGAATTGCTAATAACTATAATAAATTTTACCAGTTTGTGCTTATAGTCAATTTATTTATTAGTAAAATACCAGTGACATATAGGCTTGCTGATAGCTGTTATAAATTTTACCAGTTTGTGCTTATAGTATCAGTAAAATTCCTGTGACATATAGGTGTACTGATAACTCTATAGAATTATCTATAAAGTTAACAATTACAACCCAATATAATTAAGCTTTGTTGATATAATTTATTGTAACGTTCATAGTTGTATCAGGTGCCTGATATGTAACTGATTTAAAAATAAAAAACTAGAGACATATTGAAACCCGATTTGTCTCTGGTTTTTAACCAATTGTGCAGTTCCCAATTTGCTTTCATTCAACCTGTGTTAGTTATTGTTTGTATCTATAGAAGCCTCATCATCGCTTATAAAGTAAATATAATTATTGATATCAAAGGATGAATCATCCATATTCAATAAAGACTAAAAAGATAAAACTGATATAAGACAATACAACAGAATAGTGATAATTTATTACAGGAAAGTGCAATACAAAAAAAATATGATCTAAAGAAAAAAACAACTAAAAAGACAGATAAGTATAAAAATTGTAAACAAAAAAAGAAAAAACATAATTCAAAATAAATATAATCTAAAAAGGCAACCTATAGTGTAAAAACAATATGAAAAAAAAGATAATCTATAAGTAAGTAATCAAAAAAAACTGCAAAAGTTGTAAAACATAACTCAATAAAAAAAAAATGGCATAGTGAAAAACTGAAAAAAATATAAGAAGTGCAAGGTAAAAGGTTGAACAAAAATATAACAAAATAAAGAATATAGCAAGAATACTGAGTAAAGCAAAAATAAAAGCCAAGGTGAGTAAAAATCGAAGCTAAAAGAGTAAAAATCGAAGCTAATCGAAGCTAAAATAAGTAAAAAAAAATTTGATCAAATATTTAATAAGCATTGATCGATCAATCAATAAATATTATATAAATATTAAATATATATAATAATAGTTGAAAACCCGTGCAATAATGCATGGAAATAAAATATATTACAATTTAAATTATTTTTTAAAAATTTATTATAACTTTTATTTTATTTATAAAAATTTTATTATATATTATAAATAATGAATTAGTAAAAAACTTTTAACAATTTCAAAATTTAAATATTATTTATTATAGACTATAAAACAAACTAATATGTATTATAATTGTTATGATTTTTATTATTATTGTTTAGCATTGTATATTAAGATCTAGGTATATTTATCACCTATCTAACTTATTTCTTGAATAATATCAAGAGTATAACTATATTTAATATAATATATCTCCTATATATTGTGTCTAGTTCTTCAAATAGTATCCATAAATACTATCAATTTAAAAAATAAAATTCTTAAATAAGTACTATATACAGTACTAAACAGTAGCTCTATTATTACAATATGCAGATAAAAATAATTAGTTTGTATTATAAAGTTACTATAAAAAAAGTTTGTTAAAAAACTTACTTGTTATTTTTATTTTTATTTTTTATTTTTTTATATTTTCAGCAAGTCTCGCTATAATTTTAGTTCTAGCTATTATATAGTTGACTCTAGTATGCATGCTACTTAGTATCACAAGACCTTCATAACCCCATACGGGTATTATGTATTATCCACCTAGAATTCTGTTGCCCAACATTTTTCGGTTCCCTCATTAGGGCCTAGATCCGACCGCCTGCACGACACTCTGGAGAGGTCGAATCACCTTTTTATTGTACTGGGATTTTACTAGCCAATCTGGTGTCACCGTTCTTGTAGTATCTTCATCAGACTCAACCTCACATTACGTCTCGTGACTTCGGTTATTCCAAATCAGAGTTCTAACATGCCTCGTTTCACAGCCACAACTTCTCAGAATAACTATTTCCGAATACATCCATCTGTAGATATCCCGAGTTACCTGTACCCTGCGGTGTTTCACTTCTATATTTGGGTTTTTATTATTTCACTGCTTGGAGGAATTGAACTGACAACTTTCTGATTTGCAACCTGGAAGCATAACCCTATGCTATCGACCCGCAGATCAAAAACTTACTTGTTATTCTAGAAATATACAATTTATAATTAAGGTTGATTTAGTTTATTCTAGAAATATACAATTTATAATTAAGGTTGATTTAGTTTATTAAAATAAATTAGTGGCAGTTTTCTTATAAGCTATTATTAAAAATTCAGCTATAGAACTTATTAGCTATTCTGGTAATAAAAAAAAGGCGAGTTAGTTTATTGAAATATTATAATTTCTATTATGATTACTATAAACAATTTTGTTACAAACCTATTCAATATATAATATGTAGAGTTTGTAGTAAAATTATGATTTTTATCATAAATTACTATAAAAATTTTATTTATAGAACTTGCTCATTATTCTAACAAATAGTAGGTAGTTAAGAATAAATTAGTTTGCATTAAAATTATAATAATTTTTATTGCATTTTATAATAAAAAATTCTATTAGTTGTCATTTCAATGATAAACAGTATATACTAGAGTTTCTACTTATTATTCTTTTATTCATTTATATCTATTTTACTATTGATATCTGGATAATTATCCGAATATTTGTATAGTTAAGGATAAGTTAGTTTGTATCAGAAGTATGTATGTACATATATACGTAAAAAAATTTGTTACAAAACAGTTGAATTTGCTAAACATCGCAACCTGTGATATCGCAAGTTGATCATGTGGTATATAATTTGCATATCGACCAATAAAATTACAAAAATGATTTTAAATTGAATAATTGAATTTATTTTCAGCATCTGAACTACAACTTGAATTTCAAGATGATCAGAAAATTAAAGCTTCGTTTTATCAAGAATTGCTTATTTCTCAAAAATCAGTATAAAGAAGCCATCTTTATTTTTGAACAATTTACTATATCTTGAAAATCACTATGAAATATATAATTTACTATATATGTTCCAATAACGTAATTTTCAAGGCAAAAACCCATATATGTCACTAATGCCAAATTTACATATACACTAATCCTAACTATAGATGCTTGATGAAACTATTTCACCTGATAAAACCATAAGTTTCATCATAGTTTCGTCACTATTATGTCTTGTCAGGTCACATAAGTTTTGTCAGTTATTACTAATCCGAACATAAACTAAACTTTACGAATTTTGTCTACACTATAAATCTAGCACACATTCAAGAATTGTTATTTATTTTATATACATAACTTATAATATGATTCTAGCTCTAACCCTGAGCAATTCACTCTTACACTATCACTTCCGTCTAATACCAACTTCATGTAATTCTAACTCAACATCAAGTTAATGTTAAATCTACTTTCTATATAATATTTTAAACTTACCTTCTATAATCATATCCTGATATCTAAGCTAATCTAACTTTAACTTCATGTAATCCCACTCTAACATCTAAATATAGCTAATTCTAATTATGTTCTACCATTTAATTCTCTATTAACCAACAAAAACCAATATTTATGTTCGCATCAAAATTAACACCCAACTGAAAACGCAATTTCAATTGACTGAAGTTGCACTTAACTGAAATTAGTCTCTGAAATTAAATAATTTTGCACGCATTAGTTATCAATTTTAGGCAGATGTAACTTTAGTCTACTGAAGTTGCAACCTCAGTCGGGTGTCAACTTCAGCCACAATATAAAAACTCACTATCGATTATCATCCATTAATCTCAAAAGAATCAATATGATGAATGACAACACCAGCAAGTGTGATGCTGGAGAACGAAAACAGCTACAAAAGACGAAATGAAGATAACAAAAGAGCGAAGACACTTATGAACAGTGACATAATCGAAGCGATGCCACCACGAGTGACAGTTCCAGCTAACGACAGCTCCAACATATGATGGAATAATTAGGGTCTAGCAAATGATGCTCCAACAAAACGATGAATCCAATAAAACGATGACTCTAACGAAACGACAACTCTAATAGAACAATGACTTCAACAAAACAATGACTTCAACAAAATGATGGCCCCAATAAACAACGGCTTCAGTAAACGATAATTTCAGCAAAATGGTAGTATCGAAGAAGATAACACTACAAAAAAAAGGAATAGTATTGTATTGAAAAAAAAAATAAGTAAAATAAAATAAAGTAAATAAAAAAAACTATAATGCTGATCTGTGTAACTAGTGATATCGCAGTAATAATAGTTATAGATAGTTAGTTTGTATTGGAATTAACGTTCTGATAAAAAATTCTATTACCGAACTTACTTGTCCTTCCAATGGTGCATAGAACATAGGTAAAGATGTGTTAATTTGCATCGGATTATCATAATTTTATTAATTTAGAAAATTCTAAAAAACAATTTGTTACAAACTTACTCATTATTTTGGTGATGTAGCATGGCTAAGCTTGTGTTAGTTGCATCAGAATTATAATGATTTCTACTGTGAGTTAATGTAAAAATTATGTTGCAGAATTTACTTGCTATTCTGTCAACAGTACATGCTATGAAATTATCGTAGTTTTATCATAAAAGAATTCAAATACGAACTTACTCGCTATTCAGTAATAAATATTATGAGTGAAGTGATAATTAGATTATGATAATTTTTATCATGAATTACTGAAAAAAATTTTGATACAGAACTTACTATTCCATTGAAATACAGTATGTGGCCAAAGGTAAGATAAATTGTATTAGAATTCTCATTTTATCATGAATTACGATAAAATTCTGTTACAGGACTTGCATGTTATTCTAGTTGCACACTATATGTAGATAAGGACACGCTTGCAAGTGATTAAAAGGAAGTTAGTTGTATTAGTTACGTACTGTAAAAAATTTGTTGCAAAACTTACTCATTATTCTGATAATAGAGTATGTGGTTAAAGTTATAAAAAATGCCTGTTAATCCCCCAACTATGTATTGGAGGCAGCAATTAAACAAACTTGATAGAACAATAAAAGTGGTAAATAGGGCTATAAAAGTAAGGTCAAATCTAGAAAAAAAAAATTCATATAGTAAGTAAAGTAAATAATTAATGTAATAATAGAAAATAAAGCATGCCACCGGCATTATTCCTGTAGCCGAAATGCTTAAAATAAAGTTATCAATAATTTTGTAAAGGTGGTAGAATTCAGCTTCAAATACGTTAAGCCAGATTCACAAAAACTTATACAAGGCCTGCTTTTTTAGAGACTCTAGAATTTTTGGCAATTCGTATTTAATATAACAGAAATTTCAAAGTCTAAGCATAAGTTTATGCAAATCTGGCATAATATATAGAAAGCTAATTTTAAAAACTTTACTTTAAGCATATGTCAAGGTGCCAAAATAGTCAAAATATTTTGGCTACAGGTATATCTGGCATCTGGAGTTTCTCTAGATAAAATCGAAAAAGTATACTTGTGATATCATATACATGAATTTTTTGTTTATAAAAAAAACAGCACATAATATTCTTTGAAGTAGCGCGTTATTCTTTGTGTCAAATTATCATAAGTAAGCCAATAAGATTCTTATAATCTACAGTTACACAATTTAAATTCTATTTATACAGGTAATCTAAACGTTATCATTACACAATTTAAATTCTATTTATACAGATAATCTAAACGTTATCATTACACACAAATTTTTTTATTATATAGTTATAGATAACATAAACTGATAGTAATAAATATTTTGTGTAACCTATGGTGATAATTACCATAGATGCATTTTATAATTACTGAATAAATTAAACACAATAAAAAAAATAATTAATTTAATATAATTTTTTTAAAAAAACAAATAAAATTAAATTTTAAAAAAACAAATTAAAAAATTAAATAAAAATAATTAAGTTAAATACGATTTAAAAAATATTAAATTAAATTAAAAATAAATTTAAAAATAAAGTAATATAAATTAAACATGATTAAAAAAATAAACTAAAATTAAAAATAAAGTATAATAAATTAAACAAGATTAAAAATAATAAATTAGGATTTTGCTATTTATCACTACTGGTGATATCACCAGCATTGCTATATCTCAAAAATATACTAAATAAACAGGATTGGGTTCTCTAAATAAAAATATTCAGGACCCCCAAAAACTTTACAAGAAGATCAGGCTCTATCAGGCCCTTATAGTAGTTATATATATTACCGTGTTCCTCCAAAAATAAGCACTACCCGAAAGTAAGCACCCCTACAATTAATATATACCTGAAAATAAGCACCTTTTATATAATAGAAATAAGTAACTAAATATCAAATTATTCAAATTATTAGTTGAGTTTAACCCGAAAATAAGCACTCTTATAGCAAAAAAGGAGTACTTATTTCAGAGGAATATGGTATATAAAAAAAACAATAATTCTCTAATTTCTAACTTTAACCCTAACAAATCTTAGGACTGGTGATTTCACACCAGTAATAAATACTAAATCTCATAAATTAAATTAAATTAAATTAAATTAAATTTTATTAAAATAAATTAAATTGGTCTTACTAATTTTTACTCAGTTAAAAATGGTATCAATCAAGGTGAAACTATTACCCCACTCTTTTGGAAGATCTACTATAACTCTCTCATCTCCAATATATCTTCACATTTTTCTGGATATACACTTTCTATTTCTTATCAAACCAGCCTCATCTACCCTTCTACTTAATACCTCTATTTTAGTCCTTGCTTATATGGACGACATACTATAGATTGCTCAATCCAAAACACAACTTGAAGAAATTATTCAAATCGCTTTCTCCTTTTATTTAATGGCTGATATCCAAGTCAATCCCACCAAATCTATATTTATTACTAAGGAGTACTCTTCTAACCTCTCATTTCTCAACTCTTCTCTGCAATCTATTCCACCTTATCAGCCCTTCAAATTCCTGGGATGCTGGTTTACCCTCAACAACAAACAGTCCTTACAAATCAAACTTATCCAAGATAAAGCTATCCAATTAGCCAATATTGCTGGCACTAAAAACATAACTGATAAACAAATCACTTATATCATTAATACTGTTATTATTCCAACTACTGAATACTTGCTTCACAATATTGTAATTCCTCTTTACAAATGCAACCAAATCTTGGGCAAATATCTTACTATAGCCAAACACAAAACACATCTTTCTCGCTCTACTCCTAACAGCACACTTCTCAACCATAATCTTTATAATATTTATAATATTTAGGACATACAACTACAACATCATACTAGCAATTTTTTTAATAGAATTAATAATTCTTCTACACTTGGTACTACAACAC